ATGAGCAGAAAGCTTAGGAGCCGACCAGTCTTTAGAGCATTGGGTTTTTCGTGCGTGTTTCAATACATGAATTACGGAGTTCTGTATCAAAGACTGAAACATGACAATTATGCACAGTTGACCAGCCAGGAACTCATATTCATTGACGAGCTCGAGAAAAATTTCACCATCTACATGCAATTCCTCAATCTTAGCCCACCTAAAAGTAACCTAATGTTCTACCGTACAAGCACTCACGCAGGTATTATGATTAAATCACTGGGGATGGCGGTACTTAAAACAACATATAATTTTCATACAAAAGAATATAACACAGAAACAATACCGTCAGATACCTATGATCTCCACAAAGAAATTTCGAAGCGTACTAATGACAAATTAACGATGCAGATGCTAAAGGATAATCGTGGTGCTGTTGTTTATCATGAGGGAAAACCAATAATTTATGCACCTAGCTTGCTAGAAAATGAAACAGAGGAGGTGACTATTACTTCTGATAGTTATGCCACCGGCGTATTCCCTACCGCAACATTTAAATTCAACAAGGATCTGAATCAATATTGCTCGGAATTTGCATAATCATTCATATTTATTCAATTCTTTTGATAGATTTTTCATTATTTCGACCACTCATGATTAAAACGTTCCATGATTTCAGAAAGATGTTTGGTTTTTTAACTCAATGATTGATATTTTTTAACTGTTCTTGTAGTATGACTGGGGTAATAGGGAGTTTTTAATTTTCCGGTGGGCATTGGCAACTATCACGAGTCCCAGATTTTCGGTTTAAAATTCTTTCATAATTTCGGCATAATCCGCGAATTTAATCGTTATTTGCCCATTTTTAAGTGAAAATTTGGAGGATGTTTGATCTTCTTGTTTGCATGTTATTGTCGTCCATTGAATTTTCATTTGAATGAATGTATAGTGTTCGCGGAAAATTCTGATATTGTAGAAGGAACGATAATATATCGGGAACGGTACAGAGGAATTTCTCAAAATGTATGACGCATGTCGGCAAGTCATCAATAATTTCTCGGATTATGCAGAGATTTTCAAAAAGTAGCCGAACGTAAATTGAGGGATATGACACGTGCCAAATGCCCACACGATAATTTTACATGCCCAGTTTGTTATTATTATTTTTTTTTTGCACACCTCCAATTTGAATATTGTCTTTAGAGTTCGAGGAATATAATCAAAGAAATTAAATCATTGGAATGGATTTCTCACGGGGTGATCTGAGGATGGAACTTCGCGCCTCCATTCGTAGAATTAAAAAAAATGTGTTCGAATGAAAAATCAAAATATCAAATCACGACGAAAATTCGTGACGAAAAAATGTATAACCGTGACAATTACGTGTAATTAGGAATTCTGTCAAAACATGACGTCACGTGGGGATTGTATGACTCATATTTTTTTGAGATGATGAAATGGAAAATGTGTCGTCACGTCTGGGGGTGGTGTTGACAAATAAAGTCCTGGAAATTGGGGAGGACTTTCTCAATTATTTGCCTCCAAAAGTATCAAAGGAATTGATCAAACGAATTTCATCACTGATGCCTCATCACTCCTTATTATTTTTACTCTCGCATGTTCAATAAATGAAGTACAAATTGGAATATATCCACATGTCTGTCATCACGCCATTCCCTGTCATCACACATTTTCTATCATTTCCAATGCCACGTGAAGCCGAAAGCTCTAATTTTTATTTTTTCTCTTATAAATCAGTTCATCTCTTCGTCGAGTTGAATTATCGTCGCGTGTTGAAGGAGAATTCGTATCTCTCGAGAAGGTAAATAGTATTAGTTCCATATCGGTTTATCGAAACGAAATGGAATTCTCTAAATTCTCGAGGCGAAATACTACAAGTTATCAAATTTCATTTCATATCTGGACAATTTGATGATAATAGATATTGAAGTTTCTCCATGGGAGACGATATGCTCACCAAAAACAAAGTACTTCAGATGAATGAATTTACATTGTTATTTGAATTTATTATTATAGCTGTCGAGTTGAAAATTATGAAAAACTAGAGATGAAAAACAGCGGCATGACACGCCGTTTTAATTACTGTGAGACGATTTTGCGGTGCAATTGAATAACTGGAATTTTTAATAATTAATGTTGCACCAGTAATTGTCCACCTCGACACCCCCTAAATTGAACGCGCATTCAAATTCATTAAAGCGATTCACCCATTATCAAAACAATGAACACCCGTAATTGGAGTAATAATAAAATAATTGCCAGAGGCTAGAGCTGATGTGAAGGCGAATTAACGCACGTCTTTCATTTGGTAATCAATAAATGATATTATAATTGATTAATCAACAATATATTCTCACGAATAATTCTATAATTATCAGTAATTTCGTGATTTTCATTTGGCGGAAGTGAAAAATTATCGCCAATTCTCGAAAGAGTGGATTCCTCCCTCATTAATTAGAAAGACCTCGAACTCGGAGTCTTTCGGACAATTAATTTTTCCTTTGATCTTGCCTTTTATCAGTCTCTAGTACTCGAGGGTAAAATGGGGTCTGAAAATTTTCTGGGTTCATTTAACTTGTTTTTACGCAGTTGAGTGATTTCGAGGTCCGCAAAGTGGAAAAAAATTTCACGAGAAGGCGAAAATAAACACGGGGAGAATCGAATGGTGCAGAAGTATCATTGTGGGAATATTTGTGGAGGATTTAATGAAAATGTTGAGTGAGACGAACTCTAGTGTCAATTGACGATTATTACCACTGCGTGTTATGCGTCATTCTCTGTGTGAAGCGAAACGCGTTGATGAGTCTTTAATCAAAACAAAATCACTCCGTTGTTGAGGAATTAAAAGTCATGGGTGCAGGATGAAAGAACTTTTATAGTTCTTTGACGATCAAAGATTGTGTTTGTCTTTGGTTTCAGCCTTTTTTCTACTTTTATCTCATAATTTCGTATAAGACAGATTGTTCCAGTCACTTTCTCGTAATTAATGATTCATTTATGTATCAGTTATATTTCCCTAATACGCGAAAAAACAATAATGAACAAAAAAAATTTTCAAATATAGTGATATATAATAAATATTATTTTTTTTAAACAATTAAACATGATCACCTCGTCTCCCCCTTCAGCGCGAAAAATCAATCATAATGTAATTGAATTACCGAGTACCTCATTTTTCCGCCATTTTAGTTGGCAGAGAGGGTCCACAAAATGGCGGAAAGCGTCGGGTAATTTCTCACATTTTACGAAAAATTCGAACAAAAATCGAGCATTGAAAAAAAAATTGACTGATGAGAATTAAAAGAAATGAAAAGCCCCTGACTCTTTTAATACAGGAGATTCGAGGGCTTTCGATATATTTCGATTCGAGCGAACTTCACTGACATTCACCGAATGGTTATCGATTTTTCACGGGAGGTAAACAGGCAGTAGTAGGTAAGACAGAATATTTCTTGTGGTACCCCTCGTTAGAGGGCACCACCTTTCGATATTATTTTCAAATACCCGGCAAACACGAAAGGCTATCGCGTGTTCATCCAGATCATCCAGACCCTAGACAGTTGTAGATTATAAGAGGGGGTAAAAGATAGGCCATGATTATCGACCTTTCCAATGTCAGGTTTTATAGCCTGAACTCATGTAACAAAAACGTGTGGCGTCGAACTTCACCCCTGTCTGACTGTCTAGGGGTGCTCATCCCCCATAAGCCGGAAAAAATAAATTGCGTAACCGTTTCTTAAAAATACGACGTCAAATGTCCGAGTTTATTTTCGCGGTGAAAAATAAAAATAAAAGATGGAAAAACATCTCAGAGCGCGTGCCAGATTTTTCTGGACTGAAATTTTCCACGCGCTCGTGACAAAATAAATAAAAATTGAATAAACCTGACATCAAATGATAAAATCCAAATATTATCTTTTCAATCATCCAACGCGTTCCTCATTAATTATATATTTACATAAGAATGATAAACAAAATTCTCCGCTTTGATAATTGATGAAAATGAAAAATTAATTACCCCCCGAGAAATCACCGAAGGCGACAAAAATTGTAATTTCTCTCCACTAATTTCCAGGGAGAAAAAAAACCGTCACGCAATTTGACATTCGGTGGATTCTATTTTTACAACAGAAAACCGAGAACTGGAGTAACTCTGACCCTCTCATATCATATTAAAGAATTGGAGTCTCTCATTCCATAATTATTTCCATTAAAATTCGTGTGAAAGATTTCTAAATAAAAAATGCAATCACTAAAAATTATTCAGTCGTTTGTTTATCTAGTATCGATTGTCACTGATTGAAACCATCAGTAAATATTACATCAGGCTCGGTGAATTGTCACGAAACATTTCTTCTGTCTTCGCGTTTTTGTTTGGTTTCTCTTACGTGAATGAATGGGAGAATAGAATGAGATAAATTATTGAGGTTAAATAAATATTTACCCCGGTGCAGCGTAATAAAAATGATTATTACAGACAGCCGTTAGTATCGACAGCGAAAATAACTGATATATGATATTTATCGTAGTCTCTAAAAAAAAAATTTCACTCAATTCTCAAACCGTTGGAAAAATTCAATTATTCCTAATTATTCCTCATTAATAATCCACAACATAATCCATACAATATATTATAGAATATATTAAATACCTAGATAATACCATATCATATTATTATATAATCATAATACATAATATATATGGTGGACTACACAGTGGATAAAATGGATATAATAATAATTAATATTATTATCACATATTCATCAGAACATGGAAATATGTCTATACATATTTGATATATTATATATTCCGTATATTTTCTGTGTGGAATGTGCCGTATAATCGAAGTATATTCGATATATGTTCGATATTTTCCTTTTTACGCGGGAATTCACCGGAATTTCCCGCTCGAACCGGTCTTAATGATAAATTGCTCGTGAATTAGATGACAAAATTCGATGAAATGATCTCATGCCAATAAATACTCTGGAAAGACTCACCATAATCACCCGGAGATTGATTATCCTCCACCAGTACTCCACACTCGTACTGCCTCTGGGTATTGTTCGCTGGTGTTACAGTAAAACGATCTGGCATCGTTTAAAAAAAAAATAAACAATATCACAATAACCAATCAATAAATCACCACTGATCGACTATCAAATCTGAATTTCCCGCACTTTTTCACTTGACAGACGTCTTCTCCATGCACCTGTCGATAAATTGTCAATCCAAGTGCCTGTGGAATCAGCACCTGTGGAAATATTTGTTCCAATTGTTGAGTTTTTTTTTTAATTACACCGGGTTAGGATCAGTGTTGCACTAAGCGCTTCAAAAACACGACTGAACATCACAGAAAACTCAGGACTTGCCTCGGCCTTCGGTCATTCTCACAGCAGCACATGTACAGAAGATTCTTACTCATCATCTCCATCATTTTGTGATCCTTGGGTCCTTGAGAAATTTCACGGTCAATTTTTCTATTATTTTTGTTTAGTTTTGTGTTTTTCAGGTTCAAATTTTTTTGGCAAATGTCAGGCAGACGCATTTTTTTGTCGTGAGCGTTTTCTGGGGCTAGTCACATGCACTGGCGTAGGAGTTTGTGATGTTAAATAAGGGGAGAATATGGAGGAATTGTTTAGACCGGTTCGTCTCTTTGTTGATGGAATTGCCGAAGAAATATACTTGTAGGGGGCACCACCAATCGGCTGGAGGCGCATCGATTTTCAGAGGTACGTTACGAGTATTTTATTGCAGTCATTGTTTACTTGATATTATCATCGATTTTCCGATTTTCAGGTCAATTCAATCGGCTATTATTATTGCTTGAATAAATACAAAACTCTATGTGTGATGGGGATTTTTTTTTAATGGCGCCAATTTTTTTATTGACGGCAATTTTTTTTACTCTGGTTAATTAATTTTGCTGGAGCGTTTTTTTTTTTTCTGAGACTTGCACCTAGTGCTGGTGACATGTACTATATGTTTATCAGTAAATGACGTGATGTTTCATGTTTAGTATTGAGCACAATTGTTATTTCACTTATCAGTACATGATGGCGAGTTATCAATTTCAATTTTTCATAATGGTATTGATAATTTTAATGTGCTGTTACTTTTTCTGTAATTAAATAAATTTTTCTACTCGTTGGAATGTGAGTTCAATTTCTAATTGACAGCTAGTACTATTATTTATTGAAAATGTGATGAATGTTGAGAGGAATAATTGAATAAATTGCAGGAGAAAACATTTTTTCTAGAAATTTACTGCAGATTTTGATTAGTATATCGATTGATGATTTTTATTTCGAATTGATGGATATATTGCCGCCGGTAGAACTTTGCTGATAATTCTTATCAATTGCAGACAGGAATATATCAATCTCTACCTTATCATCACTCCTTATCAACGGAAAATATCCAAACAATAATTTATCTAGCAGGAATGAAGTTCCAGTAATTATTTATTCTTCAATTTCTGGAAATTCCACAGGAATTCAAAATTGTATAAATAACAATAAATAACATCCTAGGAACTATAAAAATGTTTATTAATTGATTTCCACCATCATATTTTTTGCTACCAAGTTATAAAAATAGGAATTAACTTTCAATTTTGAAATTATAATATAATTTTTGAAATGACAAATTTCAAAAATACTGACGTCCCGTCATGTGGCGCCAGGAGCGGCCATTTTGTAAACTAAATCAGTCAAGATGGCGTCCACTGATGTATTCTGAAAGCGTGAATGGCCGACAATTGTCAGAAAACAAGTGCTCATTGAATTTAGCGTCGTTTTCACACTGACACAGTGTGTTATTTTTATCCACGTCGATTCCTTTGAAAACCGTCAAACTGTGGCCACAACAGCAGACTATGGGCTCCAAAAAACACAAAAAACATAAAAGAGAACGGCACGAAGGTGAGAAATAATGTGAATCCTAGTTATCGTATGCCTTCCCAAGAGGCCGGGGTTTTTTTTTTAATTTATTTACTTTTATTTTTATTCTTACGACAAACTGACTTTTTTCTGTCAATTTAATTGTCTCACTTGTTTGGTTGTGACGGAAAATCTTTGGAGTTTTATAAAAATCATTATCAAGATTTTCGTGGAAATGCGCATGGTGAATACCATTCAATGAGCGTCAGTGCAATTGTGAGAATTCCGTGAATTATGGAGGTATTGTTACATGAACTTTCAATGAAAATACAAGCATTCTGATTTTTTACGAGAAATTGTTTCCATTTTTTATTTATTACTGCTAGGAAAAAATTGAATGAGTGAATAATTCATGTAATAAATTGATGAAATAATAGGAAATTCATGTAAATAGTCTCTTGTAAATAACTGCTAACTTTTGAACGACTGAAATACATTTTTGGGATGGGTCTAGTATGGGGATATTTGAAAGAGAGATTAATTAAAATTCACAAGTTCATTTTGAAGTGCTTGAGAATTCACCATCAGCTCATAGTCATCAGCCCATTCCCTCTTCATTTGAAACATGTCAGATGAATTTTCCGGATTATGGAATATTCAATCGATATTAAAATTGATTGGACCACCAGAGAGAATACCATTAGCATATATCGATACCGAGCAAAACATTTTCTAAGCCCTCGATATAGTAACCGAGGATTAAATTAAATGAATAATGGCCCCTGAAAATTGCAATTTCATTTCTGCGTACCGTGAGTTGGAATTATGAGATTCAATTAAGGTAGTTTCCTGGAAAATGCATACGAATGACAACATAAACTCCGTTAATTTCCTGCAATTCGAAATAAATGACGAATTTAAAATCCACTGACAAACCCACATTAAAAATATATAAATTAAATATTTTAATAATTGTCTCCTGAATCTATAACCAAAAGTGAATAAAAAAACTCGAATTACAATTAATATCGATCATTTGTATTTCTTTTTGATTCGTATTGCATAAAAATGAATGTCTCAACTCCTGTGTATTTTTGAAATATAATTAATGATGAGAAGAAAAAATATAATTAACCAGGAATCGATCTTAGAAAATTGCAATTTGAACCCTGTATCTTGTGCTCATAATTTAAAATGGTGTACAGGATTATTGACTACGTTTTCACCACGGACAAACTGAGAGTGAGGTTGGAGTAGAAGTTAAAGGGTGACATTGGAAAAATATAGAAGGTTGCCATAAAGCAAGAAGTACGACCGTGGAAGTAAGTTCGGGGTAACTGCCGGAACACCTCAGACTAGTTCTTTTTTTTTTGTTGCACGAGAAACTAGATTGTGCTTCGGAAATTATTCTAATGTCCCCAAAGTATTCCTCAGCCTTTATATGCGTGGGCTATCTGCTGTATCCTGTACGAAAATTTGGCTGATAAATAATTGACAGGCAGATTAGCGTTGCAGAATTGACAGAATACCCTATCCATATATTTTTATTATTCTCCATACATTTGTCTTTTATTTCCACACGATTGAAGTGCGACACAATCAATACTCACCCAGTGTATTATCCCGTCCGTTTCTGCTTTTTTTTAATATAATAAAGTACTAAAATAAATGATAATCCACCAGAATTAGTTTAATGTTGCACTTCGATCAATGAAACAAAATTAGATCGATTATTGAGGATAAATATCTTTCAACTGGCTGTTTTGTTTAGTGGCAGAGTTGTCACATTTGCTTTTGCTTATTTATTTGAACCTCTCCAGAGGTATTTTCAATTTCAATAACGATCTGAATGAATTTCTTTGTGTCTACCCCACAGGCATCAATTAATCAATGATTTATTTATGAAATTGAAAATGCCGATATTGTGGATTAATCTCCAACTGAGTAAATCTACTTCCAACTCGCTTCCAGTTCGTTGAAAGTGAAGACAAACGCCATTTATCTTTAGAATCAGCTTTTCATTACCTATTTTTTTTTTAAACCGCTAACATCCAATTTAAAACCTTGATTATTTTTATTTTATTGAAATATTTGGTTCATTAGCTTCGGCAGCTCTACCCACTATAACATACTGTATTCATGCTCGATCTCATTGCTCTGTACATTCACCTCAAATCGTTCCCTAGATTGCATGCATATGAAATTGAGGAAAAAGTTTTCCACTCGCTGGACAAGGAGATTCACTTGAAAAAAAAAAAAACAACAATTGAGATTTTTCGACAAGAGAATTCTGACAAACAAAAATTAATGATAAATGATTTAATGAAAAATAATTTTACAATAAATTTTTCTTGTTGGAATTCATTTTATTGGACTGATCATTATAAAACATCCCGAGATATTTCACCGGAATAAATAATGATGCGATTCAGGAATAACCGATGATTCTCCATTCAGAGATAAACTTTTCACTCACCGCACACCATCTAATTGTCGTAGACCCTAGCTTCTTCACCCACCACAAATCTCTTTGACGTCCCGTCAAAATGCCTTCAAACAAATGATACTCTCTGAACTCAACAGACCTCCTAACGCCGGACAAACCGCCAACCCTAAAACTTATTCTAAAAGTTGGTGGTAGCAGCGGTACACCGGAGTACGGTAACGAGTCACCAAGTCAATCAGCTATGCTGTCCCAACAGTATCAGCAGTTGGGTATGAATTACTCAGTAACTCAGAATGAGACTGAATACGATAGATATTTAGCGGGTCACAAGAAATTGAAGAAGAAAAAGAAGAAGAAGGACAAGCGTCACAAGCATCACCACAAGGACAAGAAGAGACGAAGGGAGGAGTCGTCTCAAGAGTCAGTTGGTGATGCGGATGAGAGTCTTCTCGAGCTACCAGCTAAAGTTGCCCATTTGGCGCCACCAAAATTGACACCGAGCAGTTCCCTCTCACCCCACAGAGAGCCGAGAACATGCGTTTTGAAAAAAATCGCTGAGAAAACACCACTTCAGAGGCTTCTGGAGCATCTTCTTCGATCGATGGAGAAGAGGGATCCTCAGCAGTTCTTTGCTTGGCCAGTCACTGATAATTTCGCTCCAGGATACTCCCAGATTATCACCAATCCGATGGACTTCAGCACGATCAACAAGAAGATCGAGGACAACAGCTACACGAATCTGAATGAATTCGTCGATGACTTCAGGCTTATGTGTGACAATGCGATGGTGTACAATCATCCAGAGACAATCTACTACAAAGCAGCCAAGAAGTTGCTGCATGTGGGATTGAAGATGGTGACCCCAGAGAAGCTGAGGCAATTGAGACCGGTGTTGACATACATGCATGATATCGCCCGTGAAGAACTGGGCTTTGAGCTTGGAGTTGAAGATCCAAACAATCCAGATGTTCTAGTGACTGAGGAGCAGATTGAGAAGGAGAGAGAACAGGAGGAGAGGATCGAAGAGGCTGAGGAGCTCAGAAAAGAGCACCAGAGAAAAATGAGACTGGCTAGTCTGGGAAAATTCGAGGCCATTCCCGATGATCTCACACCCGACGAAATTCTCAAACAAGCAAGAGGCGCTGCTAAAGCAGCCTCGGACAAACTCTCGGTGAAGAGGATCAACTCGAAGATGGGCTTCTTGAGGCAGAAGAAGGACGGCACAACAAGCCTCCAGATAATTGTTCATGGAGATGGTATCATCCCTGGGACTAATCAGCGGCCGGTGTCTTTGGGTCAATTGATAGGAAAATTAAATCACGGTACAGGATCACTTGCTGGATTTAGGGAGGACAGGAGGAACATGTCTAAGCCTGTTAAGCCACTCTATTATGGGGCATTTGGGTCTTATGCCCCAAGCTATGATTCAACTTTTGCTAGTCTCACGAAGGAGGAGACGGAACTCGTTTATTCCACCTATGGGGATGAGACTGCTGTGCAGTATGCCGAGTCAATTCTTGATTTTGCAAAGGATTGTGATTACACGTTGACGATGGTTGATGATTTGTTGGATATTCTCACCAGTGGTGATCATAGGAAGACGAAGAAGCTTCTGGAGGAGAAGAGAAGACTGAAAGAGGAGGAGGAGAAGATCAAGCATCTCCTCGAGAAACCGATTCAAGAGGTCAGGAATACGCAAGTGGAGAAGGTCAAGGTTGACGTCGACCAGTTGAAAACACTCTCGGAGTTGGGGATTGACGTCAATTTTTTGGACGAATATGGTACGTTATTTATTCAAAATATAGATGATGATATTATTGTTGACTTATCTTCATGATTAATTCACTGAGTAATTGCGTAAATGGATTCGACACTGTGTGTATTATTGCGTTGAAAACATTTCACAAAATTATCTTTAATTGAATTTCCAGAAGTGTGTAAATGGCTCGATTGAATTTAAAATTTCTCGTTGCAGAGGAAGAATTGAAATCAACAGAAGAGCGAACAGCTCTTCAGTCACGCTTGGACGACACGTCCCAGATGTTGAATCGTCTGAGACAGGCGCAACATGATCGTCTGTCAGCACCACCTCCAGCCCATTTGTCAAATGTTCCAAAGGCCCCGGAGAGTGAGGCAACACTCGCTGAGAAGATCACCGATAATTTGACAACAATTGCCAAGAAGCTACCACCATCAGCGATAGCACCAGTGGATGGACTGAGGCGAGCCATGGGAATAGCTCCAGTTGGTGGTCCAGAGCCCATGGAAGTAGAGCCAATTACTCACAACCCAACAATTGTTGCTGAAAGCAGTCTTCTACCACAAACCAACAGCAATCAAGTCGCCAGCATGATACAGACATCGTCAATGCAAACCACCATCATGAGTCCTCGTAGTCAAACAAATCCAATAATTGGCATTGTCAGTCAATCGCAAACACCGATGCAAATACAAATTGGCTTATCGCACAGTCAAACTGCTTTATTGGGGTCTAATGAGCCCAGTGGTGTTCCAGATCTCGAGTCAGAACTCAGGGAATTTTTGGAGAGTGATCCAACACTTGGGCATTCACCTCTGCACGATGACAAAACTCTTGAGGACATACTGTCTGAGTCTTAACACTTGTTACTTTTGAGTTATGGTAATAAAGGGGAATGTGAGGGGAAACTTTTGAATTTCGCTTGGAAAGTTACTCTTCGTATTCTCTTGCGAGTTGTAAATTTATAATTGATGTACAAGTTGATGAGAAAGAGGAACTGCTTCGTCATGGGGCTGCCTGTTAATATTATATCACTGTAGAGTAAGATTTTTTCTTTTACGATTTGCTTCTTCGGTTGTTTATACCTGACATGAGTTGTAATGCAGTGGGAGATGGATCAGAATAAAAAACCTTTTTTTTTTCAACATTTCAGGACCTTCATTTGCTCACAATTCAAGCCGAAAGATTTGATTAATTCATTGATTGATTAATTATAGCGAGCAATTTTTTCGCTACTCGGAAATCATTGAACGATAGTCTAGCCCCTGGAACTCATCGAGATTGCCAATAAGAGAGGATGAAATGAGATCCAATTAATGAGTCTTGGTGAAACGGCGAAAATATTTTCACAGCCCCACGAATTTATCCTGTTGATAAATGCAATTATAATCGCACGGACGTTTATGAATTGTATACTTAGTTGCAGTCGTGATTTTGTAGAGGGGAATTGTGGGATTCTACGTACAACTGTTCATTTCACCTCTGGACATGACCCATTAGCCACACCATTTCTCCGTGATTGTGGAGAGTAGTGTGTGCTTTTCATCCTCTCTGCCCTTGGGTTACAGCCCACTAGTACCGAGTGCTTTGTACGCCTGGTCGGGCTTTTAATTTCATTCGGCATTGGTACATGCCCTGTGTTAAATTCCACTGTAATCAGAAACACGCGTATACATTAAAAACAGAACAATTGCATTCATAACGGCTACATGCGGGTGCTGAAAGAAATATTTTATTTACCATTTTTATAAAAATTTATCTCATTGAGCAGCAGTCGAGAAAAAAATTCAATTCAACATTCAATTTTTCACCTGTTAATCCTTTTGTCTGAGCCATACAAATACAAAATTGTTTTTATTTATTTATTATTATTATTCGGTGTAATTAGGGGATTGTGGGTTTTTATTATTTTAGAGAAGTCTCGTCACCTCGAGGCTATCACTTCGCGTCTAAATCCTTTGGTGTGCGAAATTAATGCATGGACATTCCCCGGATGAATACCTGGTGGTAAGATAATGCAGGGATGATATCAAGACTTGAATACGGCTATTCAACGGGTTTGATTGGGTATCGGTACAGGCGAATCGTTAGAACCCGATAACGTTCCCCCGTGGTAATCCTCGTAAATATTAAATTCTCACGGTGCAAATAATCCACCGATTTGATTCCAATCTGGTAATGAATAAAACATGTTATACATGAGTTTCTCCATCCACGTGGACATCTCCCTCTCGGTTTATTGCGTCATGATTTTCGACAGCTGATGCATCATTTATATCCATTTCCCTTTTATGGAGATATATCCGGTGGATGCTGCAACCAACGATGAAAAATCGATGAATTCTTTTCAATTTAATAATTCTCTGTTTACACCAAAAATTTATACAAAAGATTTTTTATTCCGTTGGCAGTATTCTGTAATGGAGATGCAAGTCCGTTGATGCTTGGTGAATGGAAACATCAGAATCGTTTCAGGAACAAAAGCTTTATGGAGAGCACCCGATCGTTAGACAAACGGAGCAAAATCCTGATGTGAATGTACGTGAATATCAGTGGACACCGTGAAAATGGAAAACTAAACGTCACACTCACTATTGCATTGAGTCATTCAAGATTCTTGTTTGCATTCAGCTACTGTCAACAACTTTTACCTCTGTCTCTGGTTCTATCACCTAATTACATGAATTTTACATGCAACTGGAGGAAAACATCAGTCCCAGCATGAAAACCGGTATATATAAACGATATATATACATACATATATTCATTGTCCGTACATATATTCCGGTAAATATAAATAATGAAAATAAATGATATATAGATATATTTTCAAGTATAATTATTAGGATATATATTATTTTCGCGAGAATAAATAATTCGCGGAATTATAAAATTCCAAAAATGTTGAGTATCTAAAAAAAAATATTAATAGAGCATTCCGTTCTTCTAGTGCTGCGTTGTTTTTTCCACATCACTTTTTTTCCGTAGGTTTTCCCGGGGATCGGTCAAGCGATGAATTTCCCTCTTTCCTATTTTTTTTTTTTACCACCAATATATATCCTCTGGACCCTGGGGTATCGCTGTATCGGATGGTGGGTAAAAAAAATATAGTTGAAACAAAAAAACAAATTTTCAATGGAAGAAGCGCAACTATTCAGTCGACTATATCGGCTTTTGCTTCGGATGCTCCAGCGTCGAATCCATTCGCCCCAGTCTCGCCTCGGTGAATTTTGATGGAAACAAGAGGATTAAACGAGCGGATATCCGACAAAAAGGTATTAAACGAGACAATTCCGTTGTTTACTGGGATAAGGAGGACTGCTGTTGAGGTGGAGGAGTGATTTTGACGTCGGGAATTCCCTCATTCGAAAAATAATTGAGTAATAACGGAAATCCTTTTCATCGGAATAAATCAACACCTACAATTGAAATTGCGAAAGCCTTCCAATCAGAATACATACTCTATATATTGTCAATTATATATTTTTTGTATAAATCTATTTACAATAAATTCAGATGCACAAATGATTTTTTTTTAATGAATTATATGGTAATGATTATAGAATAAATAAAATTGGAACTTTGAAATTCAAAAGTGTAAATTTCGATTTGATTACGGCAATTAATTAGAAAGCCATTTGCGACACGTGCACAACCCGCGAATATCTTGTCTTAATTTTCCTTTGACGATGAAAACTCGAGGATTTTACAGCTACCATCACCATAAAATTCAAACTCCCCCAGAATTAATTCTCCACACCCTGAAAAAGTTGTTGCTACCAGAGAGTCTCTTTTCCCTCATTTTCCTCGGAAATTGTGAAAATAAGTTGCTATATCTACCGTCATGAAACGGAAGCAATGAGAAAGGACGAAGTAACGAGATGGTAGACCTATTGTTTTGGGACACTGCGTTGTCATTGTCTACGCAACTACTTTTCAGGAAAACTACCGTTGGCATCTGGAACGGAATATCGGCTTCAGTGCAAACTGAAGAGACCGGAATTGAGGAAATAAAACCACCAGGAGGCCATTGAAATTTTCCACCATCATCAGCCTGAACGAAATGTTTAATCTCACCTAATTTTCCTTTTTTTCCGGGAAATCCTAAATTTTTTCGGTTGAACTTTATATTTTACGTCAATCTCCGAATATTTTCCAAGAGTCTCAACGGATGACAGGAAAATCAATTGAAAATTTTACGATTTCCCTCAGTGCAATTGAAGAATACCTGGATTTTTTTTTTCATTCACCGATTATTTATTATTATTTTTTTGGAATGTATCATTTGGGTAAGTGAAGAGATTTTAATTGTTCTCTCGTTTTTGGGACTGTACAAATTGTTGATTAAAAATAACTTGCGGTATTGTATCGTGGAATATTTTTATTGATCATATTCTGAGGATTTAGACATGTCGCATTGTGCAATGAGTGAGAGAACAGTAATTGTTAACAGGTAATTGTTTAACGCCGAATGGCGATTTCGATTCCATAATTCCAGTAATTCTCATCATCTCGCGGTGCCATAATTGTCATCGTGACGAATGTGTCACCCAGGATAATCCACTTAGTATTTCAATCAATTTCGGATGCATCCAGGAGAAAAGCCGCTTAAAGTGAACAATATTTAGTTAAATATTCAAACGCAAACGTGATTCGAGCGGTATTAATTTATCGATGAATATATTATGTGCAGTGAAATAAATTTTCCTTCAACAAGATTCACACATCCGAGAGAATTGACTGGCCCCAAACTAATCTTTTAATGCAATTATCATAATGAGATAAATCATTATCGCTCACTCTCCCCGGAGCAATCATAATTCGCTAAACAAAAATTGTTGTAAATCCTGATAAATTTGATCATGTTGTTAATTCATTCAATTGAATCAGCGAGAGGAATCTGAGGCTCAAAATGGAAATATTAATTCTCCATTTGTGTTAACCGAGTGGAAATGGATGGAGGTGCCTGAGAAATGCACATTCGCGCGGTTTAAAATCCAAAATTAGTTTAATTTCCAAATATGAAAATGGAAATTTAATTTTCTCACTGAATTACTGGGTGTGCGCCATTTTCTTTAGACGATACTAAATTCTTGGGGTAATAGTTATCCGGATTTTGCGTGAAGTTTATTCGCTGATTCGGGACTTATTAAATCAGAATAAATCCAACGCAAACGAAATTTATTCGTTCTCTTCTCGATTTTTTGGGATCGTCGGGGAATCGATTTTATTTTACCAACGGCATGATTGTGTTCAAAAATTAATTATTCCATTTTTTAGTATTCCGATATTTAAACTGGACATCCGTCTTTCTTTATCAGTTAAAAAATTATAGAAATCGAATTAAAAGTTGAATTAATGAAAAATCATTTCCATTCGATCGATCGGCAATTGAGTGATCGATTGTACTAATTGAAAAATTAAATTTAATTGAATAATTATGTCTAATTGAAAAATCGAATGTTGATGACCTTGAGGAGTTGTTAAAAATGGAAAAAGCTCTAAAGTTTCTATCGGGAATTGGATAGAATTTTCACCAGATTTTTCGTGTTTCCACATTATTGTCGGGGATTCCCCAAACTTTTATATAAAATCGATTTTTTCCGGGGAATCCCCGTGGACTATCCGTTCAATGAAGAAACTAAAGGACCATAACAGAAAAGGAGAAACACGAAAGCTGCAATATTCTATACTCCAATAGTTCTACGTCCCACGGGTTTTCTTAAATTGGAGAATCTCCGACAAAGCCACAGCTCGGTCCTGGTGACACGTACTGCACTTTCACTGTTTATTTTCGCTTGTGATCAACTGTACGTGAATATTTTCATAATTTTCCCTCAGTAATCCTGAGAATTATACTTCACGGGCTAGTGAAAATGAAAATGCTGGATCTCACTGGGAAAATTAAAAAATTCTCCCTCTTAAAATTTCAAATTCTCACTTTCATCACTTCATTTTATAAAATCGAGATTACTCATTATTTATAATCAATGACACGTGATAAAAAATGATTTATTAGTATTGATTAGATTGATTATTTTTCCAGGGGTTGGATATCAATCGAAAAATAATTTCTAATCATTGTTTATTAATTAACAGGTAAAAGAGACATTTTAATGAGGAAAAAAAATTTTAGGAATTGTAATATTTTTTGGTGAGATATTTTGAGCTTTATTATTTTTATTATAGTTTTATTATAGTTGATCACTTCATTGTATAAAGTCGAGATTACTCATTATTTATAATCAATGACACGTGATAAAAAATGATTTATTATTATTGATTAGATTGATTATTTTTCCAGGGGTTGGATATCAATTAAAAAATAATCTCTAATCACTGTTTATTAATTAACAGGTAAAAGAGACATTTTAATGAGGAAAAAAAATTTTATGAATTGTAATATTTTTTGGTGAGATATTTTGAGTTTTATTATTTTTATTTTTACTAGTGGTCAGTTGAATTTATTTATTTTTTTCTTCTTCAGGGTGAGATTTTGGAATAGCGTGCAGAGGGGTTGTAGGAAGGCCTCGATTACTCCTGGTTAGTGCTTTAACTCGTTGTACCTTTCTCGATATAAAGTACCACTCATGCGCAAAGGGATTGGCCACAGGGTGCGAGCCCGGGTCGAGCGTCGGGACGCCGTCAGAGTGGCGTCGCGATGCCAGTCATCGCGTTCGCCAGGAGCACAAACAATAGATCGTGTTTCCGTTAAAATGCCATCCGCTTTACAGGCGGGAAAAAAATCACAACAACACCGCAATTGTAATAATTCAATAGATAAAGTTAAATAATCACGACTGGACAAGTGATTATTTATTTTCATCTGGATGGGCCACTCGGTGAGTTGGTACGGGTCAATGACTTGCTTTTCGCCGGCACGTGCTGCTAATTAGTGATTAAGATCATTGCAATCGGTGAATATTTTTCTGGACTTTTTATCCCGATTTTTTATACCCCGGACTAACGACTGAATCATTCATTCTGTGGAATACGTGGCAGAGGGGTGTAACAGGTATTTATGCAATTGTTAATCATATGTTATTGATCATCTGGAATAATTAATGGGGATAATGTATTTTTCACTTCAATTAACGATTTCAATTACATTCAGTGGATGTTTTGGATAAATGTTGAGATAATTATTATTAATTATTATTTCATTTTTAAATAACCGAAAAGTCATTGAGTAATTCCGGATTTATTTCAAATTTTCAAATATTTTTTTTTGTAACTCTCGTTAATTATCATCTCGTGGAATTTTAATCCCAATTAGGTGCATTTATATCTATTTTTTATGGGGGAGGGGAAAGTTTTAATGAGCCAATCGCATATTCATGGATATTATATTCCAGAATTCATACGTCCATCATAAACTCATGTTCAATTAGAGAAACATAACGCAAGTCCCTTATGAATCAAAAGCTCTCGTGACGTTTGATTATTGTAATCCGCGGTTGATATTACGCGCATTTCAGTAACTCTAGGATTATATTGCAATATAAATATAAAAAATATATATTAGCTGTCCACACATATATCCTATAAATATATTACAGTAATTTATATTAAATTTGATAAATGATATATTAATGTGATTTTTAAAAAACAATATATGTGGTAATAGAAAAAAGGAAAATGTAAATAAAAAAATAATAATTATATTAATGTGATATATCATATATATTTTAACATATTTTTTTTTCCCCGCGAGAGTCACGATTGAAAATGTCTCGAAATTGTGGAGAAGGGATTCTCTGATTGTCCTTTCACGAGCAATTGTCCAGTGTCTTCATCTTTTGTTCCGATTCCTCTTCAGCCTCAACCTTTTTCCCGGTACTTAGTCGACTCTTTATTCTCCCTCCGATTCTTCAAAAAGATCAGGGCAACTAAAATATTAATTCGAGATAAAAAAAAGGGCAGTCGATTGACAATTGATTCATAAATTCTAAGTCAATTGATTGATCGCGTCAGGTACTGCCCATTTTTTTTTTATTCAACCGTGAGGTAAAATTCATGTGAATGTGGAAAAATAACAGGAATTTAATTGAATTAATTGAATGGGATGAGAATGATTTATTCATGCATTGAGGGGAAATATAATCGGCGGGAGATTTATCTGGTCGGTACTCGCGATGAGAAACCATTATCGATCCCAATTTCATTTGAATTACGATAATGAGAGAGTACCCATCTGGGAAAATACCGTAAGAATGGTATAACTCTGTCAACTCTATTGCCGTAATTTTACGAAAATTGTTCAATTAATTACGCGAAATATTCTGATTTATATCACACGAATAGTTTTATTTATGACTTTTAAAATAGCAGTGCCCCTTCGGCCCACCCGACTGTAAAATTCATTCCAGTGTCTGGGGCAAATGAAAAATGCA